ACCACCACCCCGGTCTGCCAGTCCAGAGGTACTGTCCCCGACTGTACATACTGTAAGTATTACATGATATTGTGCTGTAAAGTTGCATGCATTCATACCGATACATACAGTGTTGAGATCAGCCAGAAAAACATTGATCATCTGCTGATGACATATATTTCTCAGATCCAGATGTTCTTCATTGTTAGACGTGTATTAATACCAACTAGAAATAATAAAAAAAAAGTTCTTCGTTACTTACTGAGGTTATAGAAGGGTACAGAAAAAAAAATGATGATGACAAAAATTGAATTATCGATGGCTTTTCGTAAAAAACATTTCTGAAGTACCGATGTAACTTTTTTGCCATTAGCTAAAATCAGTTGCTATTTCTCAAGTGATGGTTTAGAGTCAGAGACATTTCCTTGGCGTGACAGAGTATAACCAATGATGTTTTCTTGTGCTGATGATTCCAGCTACATGTAGACTTACCCTTGTTCTCTTAGTGTTGTCTTTTGAACATACCAGTGACAGAACAGTGAGAAGTTTAGTGGTTCAATCACCGGTCTCTCTGTTTGGAGTTTCTTATGTTACCCAGCGTATTTATAGTTTTTCTCCAGCAATATCGGAGTTTTTGTTGGTATGGTCCTTTAATGGACTGGAGAACTTCAGTATTTCACCTCTACTCGTTATATTTTAATGTAATAATCTTGATTACATTTCAGACCTCGGTCTTTCCACCTGAGAGTGTCGCCCAAATAAAACCCATTCCATTTGTGTTGAACTTAACTTGAAGTCCTATTTCTGTCATGAGTTTGAGTCCAGACTGACTGTTGTCGTTGTAACATGGTACAATACCTTGCAGCTGACCTTTGGGCTTTGGCATTTGTTTCTGTTCTCAGTAGCCCACCACGACCCCGAGAACACCTTTAACTGCAGCTTCATTGAGCCCCCCTCAGTGGCCGAGCAGCCCTCCCCTTCCTCCTGGTCGTCCCAGGAGTCCATCTCTTCCTTTGAGAGCGGAGACGAGGGACTGGTTTACTGTCTGCCCCACGAAGGTGAGTCACAGCAAATGCAAATAAGCACTTTGGTTATCGGAGAAGATCCGCAATCTGTAATTGATCTCGGGTCCACACCAACTACGGTGGTAGACAAAATGTCATGTGATGACCTCATCATCGCTTTATCGTTATTACTACAGAGGGAGTTTTCCGTGTGTTACGTCAGTCTGAACACTGAGAATATAAACAGGAACTGAAACATCCGACTCAGCAAAAGTCTAAACCCTGACTCACTTTGAGGTTTTTTGGGGGAAACGCCCTCTTTATCAGCTTTCATTGAACTAAATCTGACTGTGAAGTCTTTGACTCGTATATAAATATAACAAGATTTATTTTATGTTTTTTACTTTAGTTTATTTAAAAATATTTCCTCCGTGATTGGCTAAAAGGCTTTTCTCAAAGTATTGTCTATGTTTCGGACCAAACCGACCTATTCTATTGAAGGAAAAATATGGCAGGTTGAAAGCAATATTCTATCGATCATTTATGATACTAATACTTGATCTCGATCTACAATGATCCACAGAATCTGTGAATGACAGCAAAGAGAAGCGCAGCCCCAGTCCAGCAACTGACCAGCCAGAAGCCCCCACCGATGAAGATGCAGGAGAGTATACCTCTCTGAAAGACACAAGTGTCACAAAGGTGGATGGCAGTGAACAGCCCCTGATCAAGTCCTCTGACAGTGAAGGGTCCATCACAGGCTTGGAGTCCGCAACCGCAGCTCTGTATGCTCGCATAGCGCGCCTCTCGAAGCAGTCCAAAGAGGACGATGGGAGTGGCAAGGATGGAGCTGGAACTCCTATAGTGGAGGTCAAGCGCAATGGAAAACCACCGCCTTCACCTGGTAAGCCTAAACCAAGGCCCCCTGACCCATCAACCAAGCCTAAAATTTCATGGATACATGGAAACACCCGAAGTTCTGCACAGACAGAGCAACAGGGGAAGGGCAGCATAAAGTCACTGGCAGTACCAAAGGAGAAAAAGAGGAGCTCGAGCGATTGCTCAGCCAAGAGTGAGGAGCGACAGAAAATAAAGAAGAATTGTGAACAGCAGAAGAAACAGGAAGAGGAGGCGGATGCCAATGAATGTATCAGAAAATATAAACCTCTGCAAGGTAAGATGTCTGGGGATGAGCACAGCAGTCCCAGTCACATGGAGCACATTAATGGTGTTGTCCAGAATGCCTTGAAGATGATCAGTAGCTTTCATAGTTCCTCTTCTGAGAAGAAAAGCTCAAATGACATTCCAAAAGAGAACCCTAAGGAGCCACCCAAGAGCCCTAGGGTGATGCACCCACATATGAACTCTGAAGCTGCCACGCTGCTAGCTGCTCAGCTTAAAGAGAAAACCCAAAGCATCAACCGGAATGAAGGAACAGGCTTAACAAAGACCAATGGCTTTTCTACACCCAAGGGGACAAGAGAGAAGCCAACACCTCCACAGAAAACCAAGAGGAACCCATCAAGTGGATTAAACCAGCAGGGTTCCATCAAGCCACTGTTGCCCACCACAAACAGCCTCCATAAGATGGTGATGCCTGTCAGCAGCGACCTAGGGCCCCCTAAAGCTAAGAGCCCGGAAAAGCAGGACTTGAACGGCTCGAAGTTTGGGGACCCGGCACGGGATCACACGCCAAAGAGAACTCCAATAAAAAAGCCGCCCAGGAAGAAGGGCAAGGAGGGAACTTTGGAAACCCCTGACAGTAAAACACCCCAGCAAAAAACAGCCATCATGCCACCACAAGTTGTGAAATAATTGCTCATGAAACCCAAACATAGGAAAGATTTATGAAGGGTTTCAACCCAGCTTAGTTGGATTTCTTGGAAAGTAGACTGCACCGTTTTTATGACAAAGAATTGAAACCCTTTCTGACGTGACTATGCTGTGACTTCAGGGCCAATGAAAACAGACAGAGTCTTTTTTTTTAATCAGCCTTTTCATGACCTCTATACACCATTTTATTTTACTTCAAGAATCTGTTTTTATATATAACTGTGTATCAAACTCACATCACAACCTGTGGCTAAGCTGGACACAACTGTGAAAACAGTGCGATGTGGATATTTTTCATACTTTTCATTTTTTATCACTATACAAAAAGACAACAACTATATTTTAATCTAATTTCAACTGACCAATTTAGAAATATTTTCATTCTATGCAGATGAGAGTCTTTTTTAAACATTTCCAGTTATGAGTAACGCCTTTGTCTCTCATCCTCATAAATCCTTCTGTTATTGTCAACCTACTTGTTGTCGACATAAATGATGATTGGCTTTTTAAAGAAATCTTACCAAAGATTTTTCACTGTTTAAATAGATTGGAAATAGTCCGTACTACAAAGCTATGCTACATCCTTGCTACTTAAGCTCTTTCAGGGATTCTCCATAAAGAACAAACCATTTTTGATTTATTTAGTTTAACTGACACTCATTTTAAACATGCTGTTGGATGTTGTGCAGAAAGACCATTTTAACTTCATCTATACTTTTGCCTTTTTAGTGTGTTTTACTCGCTCATCAAAACCACTAACCCAAAATTATAACCGATGTATCTCGTGTACTCAATTAATGTCATGCTAATAAATCACTGAAGTAAAAAAAACAAGTATTTAATTACAGCCAAATCAGCACTTCCTCTCTGCTGCAAACAAATTGAGCCTATTTAGCCTTGTGCTATTTAGTCGGGTCAGATGACAACGTGTTCACCTGACCTTACAAAGGAAAATTAGTTTCATGTTTACAGTATTTCATGGGAATGAAGCCTAAGCCTTATGCAGATGATACCACGTATGGCTTGTATTTCTTCTAATGTTTAGAGAGTTTAAAGTATTTCTCAAACACATCATTTGTCTAAACTGTTTACTATGCTTTTGCCATGATGTGTTTGAACTGGGCTTATTCCATGCACATGAAATATGCAGATAGAACATGAAAAATAACAGATATTTGAAAAAATAAAATGCCCTAATTATGTATTATCTTATCAAAAATACTGCTCTTGGTATTTTGTATGTACTATATTGGTTAAAGCACATGCAAAAGATACACAGAATACCAAGTAGTTCAGGTTCATGTTGCAGTTTGACTGTGGATTATAGTCAGGTGTGGATTATAATTTTCACTAAACAGATATTTAGCTTCAGTTTGTACACACTGCAACTTTTATCTCCATGAAATACTGTATGTCGATCATTTGTAAAAAAAAAAAACATAAGCAGACGTCCATATAAATTTGGTGCACACTTCCGCAGACACATGGACGGTAAAATAAATACAGTTTCACACAGTTATTCAATGCTACTTTATAAACATATTTTAAACTAGACGGCTTTGTCTATTTCCAAAACTTAGCTTTTGGTCAGTCTGTTAAAATGCAATCGAACCACGACGATCTTCTATAAGTGGTTCATTATACGCTTTCTACTTGGGAACCAATTCCAACAAAATATGCTCAACGTCAGTCAACCTCAATATCTTTAATTCTCCCAATACAGTAACTGTCCTGTTACAGTAAGCTAGTAAATCAATGCAGCAGTTCCACCGTGCTTTGAAACTCAATGTTAATTATGGACCATCATTAGGACTAAATGGTACTGTGTCATGGCCAGTGACAGGTCCCTCATCTGTAGATTAGTTTAGGTTCCTGAGTTTGTCTAAATGTTGTTTTTTTTAGTCTTGATAAACTAAAATGCTAAGCTATTTCTGAGCTAATACAGTTAACGTGGACTATGCAGGAATAACCCAAATTCACAACTAATTTAACCTTTTTTTTTGTATTTTTATTGAGGTACACAACACTTTCTTTCCCCCACTTTTCTACATGTATACATTGTGTACTTATTATTATCCTTGTAAGCTGTGCTTATATGACTCTCGGTCTGTTTCTTTGTTGATGATGAACTGGCTTTCATGTTGTAGTTGCCTTGTCTTTTGGTTTGCCCCATACGTTGGGCTCTATAGCAAACCCAGTGTATGAGTACACCCCCCCACCCCCTATAAAGTTTACAGTGGCTTTGTAATTATTATCTGTTGATTTGTATTGAAACATTTACTTCATGACACAGTGTGTAATTATATGGCAATAACGGCTGCAGGGAAGTGCGTCTTGACCAATTTCCTTCAGATGTTATCATTTACATGACATAGGAAAAAAAACCCAAAAGGATTGTACAATACTACTACAATACTCTGACACCTCTGTGCAAGTCTTTACCTATGCAGTACATAATACAATAGCATTGAATAGTTACAGTATGATGTGTCAAGCACTTTTATCTGACTGACTCATGCCTGTTGTTAAAGTCTTTCAGTGCATGTTTTTCTGTGTGCCCTTAAGAATGACAAAACATACTGTATGGTATTTTGTAATTTTTTTGTGATTTTACGTTGGCATCTTGAGTTTTCATTTTAGGAATAAAAAAGCAATACATGTAATTATCTGTCAAATGTGACACCAAATTTAATAGACATGTTCATTCTTAAAGAAACCTGAGGACTTTTGATTTTGTTTGTTCAGGACTTGGTGGAATGTGACACCCACAAGAGCTCCTTTCATTGGAAGAAATGTATTCCTGCGTGCACACGTGTCCCTTTTCTGGTGGGAAGAAGACGGATATGTTCACTGGACCATTTGGAGCTGAAGTTGGATGAATGGTTGGTGTAATAATGGCTGTATATTTTCATTGCGTAATTGAGGGGAAAATAGATAAAGACGCGTTGTTGTGGATTTCGCTCTTTCTTCCTGATGATCTATGTGTGATTAGTCGGTGCATACAACTATGATGAGTGACATTTAAGTTTGGTTTTGGCTAAGTATTTAAATGTTAAAATCTTCTCTTGTTTTTTGGTTTGGTTTTTTTTTTTGCGAAGTTGATGACATTGTAAAAACTGCTCAAAAGAAAGTGAGTTTGACAGATATATACCAGTACCAGGAATGTTTTAGTACCGTTTACACATTTACATGATTGGAGTCGTCAGAGTTCTTAAAACTTCTCTGTATGTTTTACAAGTTCTTTCTGGTTCGTTTAAAGGAGAAAAAAATTATGTAGGAAAAATGTTATCTTGCTACATATCTTTTTTAAAAAGTACATATTATTTTACATATCTCACTTTTTCTTTAAAAACTTAACTTTCTAAATTATTATTAAGATATGTCAGTGTACTGTTCAATTACAACCACTAAAACAACAGGTTTCAGCACCAAGCGTTCTGATCTATTTTTTTCTCTCTCATATTAAGCTATTTTAGTTGTGACTGACTGCAAAAACAGCTTGGGGCCTTGGTTACCCATGTCCACCCCTTTTTTAGCCTTTTTTTAGCCTTTTTTAAGGTCTACTGCTACTGAACGTGTTGCACCCTTGCCACTCTATCCCTATAGGCTGTCACTGCTTTTCCCATCCCATTGATAGCGTCGTCCCTGTTTTCCCCCTACAAAGAAAAGCTACTTCTGCACAACACTTTTTATGAAGTAAATATATGTAATGGGCATTTTGTAGTATTTTTCTAAATTGTGTAGTAGGGCTACCTCAACAACAGCATGAAATGCTCATAAATCCTCTCCACACTGAGCCTATGCGAGAATCAGTGTCTAGGAGATTGTAGACTGATTTGCAAACAATTTGTATAGATCAAAATCCTGATCTGGTTTACACCCATTTTTAGTTTCACAATTATTTTTCGCAACTGTACACATCTTTGAATCACATTCAAGACATTCTTCACAGAATCATCCCATCCTGAATGTGACAATGGCTTGAGGTTTGATTTGTTGCCAGGATGTAGAGGAATGTTGACACAACTGCCTCCATCTGCCCATCCTCAGGCTGCAGATGGAGAGGATCCTCAGCTGAGCACACCAACACATGTTCTCTTGGTTTTCTTCGCAGACGTGGGAAAGTCACAGCTTGGAAATGTGCATTCCGTGTCAGACTTGTCACATTTCGGGGATAAACTGTTCATTGATCGCTTGTACCGTTGCCTGTGATGGATATCTATACCTGCTTCTTTTTGTGTGTAGATTTAAATAGGGGCCTGTGTGGGATTATAGCTTGTTTGGCCTTCACATATCGCTTGTGTCGTTTACTCAGAGTTCAGACCTTGTGGTTCATTGACCCAGTGTTGAAGTTTGACGTGTAAAAACTGTGATTTTGCATCGGCTTTGTGGAACTGAACACAAAAGGACCATACAGTAAAACTAAAGGCCTGGTCAAAGTCAGAGTGAGGAGTGTGGGAAGGGGGTTCAGTGACATCTGGGCTGCCAGTCTAAACATAACTCGGAGCAGGCGCGCTCCGTGTGCCAATTCTATAGAAAGGGCTATAAAGCGCAGCCTCTATGAGTCAGCCAAAAGCCCTAGACTCTGAAAACCTATTCCAGTCCCTGCGTTTCCTTGGCAACAGGAACGGATTGGAATCACATCTGGTAGCCATTTGAGTCCTCTCTAGGAGAAGGAAGAAAGAAATTTATGAGTGAGGGGGAAAAAGACAAATATTTTCTGCAATGCAAAGCAGAAAAAAAGTGAATTACACTTAAAATAGTTAATATTAATTCTATCGTGAACTGACTACAGCTGTTCATTGATGCCAGGGTCTTCTCATGGATGGTCCCACGTTGGTGGAATGAGCTGCGCAGCACCACCGGAACAGGGGCATCCCTGGCTATTTTCAGGTTCTTGAAGACACAACCATTCAGAGAGCACCTCCTGTACCTATCTCCACCCGAGTTAAGAAGTCACAATAAATAGAAGTCGCTTTTCAAGAGTTCCATGTCAGGGGTCACCAACTGTTTTGAAACTGAGAGCTACTTCAAGGGTACTTAGTAATACAAAGAGCTACTTTTTTGATACAGACTTCCCCAACAATGCAATAATAATTAGTTCTAGAACATACAACGGTAGACACCCATCCATCCATTTTCATCCACTTATCCATTACCGGGTCGCAGGGGCAGCATTTGCTACCCAAATCACATTGCACCGTACGAACCCCCCTGAACCTTCCTGCAGGTGGTGAGTCCACTGGAAGGTATCAACCACCCTAACCGGGATTCAAACTTGCCCAGGAGGTGAACCCTAGGATTCCACACCAATGACAGAGACATTGCCTCTGGGCCAAAGCGCCACTAATGGTAGATACTCTTCTTACCATCTTCTTACCAAATAGGTTCTTACTGAACCCATTTGAATATCATTGCAAGTTGAACTGATTCAAAAAGCACAGTAACAGTACAATTTTTCACCCTCTTGTTGATTAGTTTTTTTGGTTTTCTTTTGAATATACCCCACTTAGGTAGTCCAAGGGGTCTATCAGGTGACCCCGGCCACAACGTTGGTGACCCCATGCTCTATATCGTTTCCCAAAGACAGAGTCCTGACCCTCAGGTAGGTCGCAAGAGATTTTTTTTGAGTTGTTTCGCATCATATTTCCCAGGAGTTTGGGAATATGGTCTATTGACTTGGGTTGTGGGTTTAAAATACGGGGAAACGCTGGTATATATAGCTAGATTGTTAATTCCCCTCTTGTAAGTCGGTTTGGATAAAGGCGTCTGCTAAATGCATACATGTAAATGTAAATTTCCTTCGTCCATTGAGAGTGTTGGTAAATCTTGACTTCATTAAGAGAAAACAAAGTCTATTCTCCATAACAAATTTGATTCTCTGTTTAACTGAACATACGTGTGTTTGTAGTGTACTGTTGTCCGAGTGTAGTTTTCCAACACGGCTGTGGTTTCACAGCCCGATTCACCACATCAGGCCGATTCAACGACAATCTTAATATGGTGTTTTCATATGTTGTCCTTGTCGACACACTGTCTGCAGGAGAAGCTGTCTAATTGCAGTCCTCCTATACACATTCAATGTTGTTCCTTAGCCTTGTGGAAATGCAGCAGCTACGAAATGACATTTACTGGAAATGGAGCTGGTGCTTTTCTCAAACCAAAACCACTGAGAACTGAGGTCAGCGTGCAACCAAAAGAAAGGGGAAATGCCAGCATCGACTGTGTGTATGTTTCCATGCTTGTGATATCTACTCTAAAAAAAATTGGGGAGTCGAAAGAATATTTTAAATATTAAGAGTGAGGCTAGAATCTGCTGCTAAATGTTATTTCTGCAGACGCTGCGGTGCTACTGTAACTGAGACACAAGGGTTCTAAGACCTTAAAGAAAATTAACACCTGAATGAAAAGTTAGGCTACATCAGGTCGTGGGGGACTTTGACAAACCTCTATGCAGATGATACCTCTAATACATCTAACAAACGAACTGACAAAAAGTATTTTTTTTTCATTATTGTATACTATGTGGTGCTGTATATAAACACATTAGCTGTAGCTGTTTCATGCACACAAAAGGCAGAAGTCCAGTCCTCAAAACCCAGGCATGTGGACCAAAAGACAACAAGTCCACTTAGGTTGTACCGAATGTAAAGAAAAACAAGAAAAAAGTACCAAACTGAGCAATGATCGTAAGAAAATAACATTCTGGTTAGAAACTAAAAAAACATTTTCAACTTTTCTTTTTGTCGTGAAGACGTTTGAGAGTCGTTGTCTGGGACTTCAAAAACATTTTTCCCTGTTTGTCAGCATAATTTCATGGAACAAGCAAATTAGAGGCGAGGATTTGGATGACTAATTGGAAGCAGATTAGACAGATTATGTTTTTTTTATCTTTCTTTTATGTTTCTTTCTCTCTCTCTTTTCTTCCTTTTTGAGCCTCTCTTTCTGTTTTGCCTGTTTTTCCTCCCCCTTTGGTTTTATTCTCTCACACACTCATCCATCCGCTATCTGTGCAGTGGGACTTCAGACTTCATAATGTGGCTTGAGGTTTCACATAATTCCACTGGCTGACCCAAAGATTTTTTTCTCTCTCTCTGCTGTTTCAACCTGGAACAGCACAAGAAGCTGTTGAGGAAGCTAGAGAGAGAGGGAGAGAGAGATGAGGGGGAGGGAGGGAGTGAGTGCTGCTGTATTTCTCCACATTTTGGTGTGGAAAACGATCACAAGAATGAATGTGTCTGCACAAACCCAGGGAAAATGTGCAGTTGGCGTACGTTTTTATGCACCGAACCACAACTTTGCTGAAAATCCATCCTGTCTGCGTCCCTCAGGCCGTGTCCCACAGCTACCGTGTTGTCGAAGATGTCGACTTTTATTTGTGATTTCCCAAAACATGCTTTACGTCGCTAACACGTATCGCTGTTACAAAAGTTCACTTTAATCCCAGTATTGAGTATTGAATCTTAGAGAGTCACTCCATTTTCATAGCAAATCGATTATTTTTGCCTTTTCTGTCTCTGACCAGTGACATTGGATTACCGTTGCCGCGAACTGGTGTGTACATGACCCTCGCAGCCCTGCTCTACTTCACAGGACAACACTGAAGTCATTATAGGGAGCCATGTGTTTCTGATTACTCTGGCACAGATTGGGGGGGGGGCAGCAGCTGCTGTCTGCTTGCCCCCCCGCCACTCACTAATGTGGTCAGCAACTGGATGTCCAGTGGGTCACATTCGTCCTCTTGTCTTATCCCCTCCCCACCTCCACGGTTAACCATGTCCACGCTGACTTCCCAAGACAGGAAGGAGCTTTGGAATCTTTTCATCTTGAACTTTTTTCCACACACAGATGTTTGTTTTGTATTGTAATATGAGGCTAAGATAAAAAAGAAATTCTGCAAATGTGTGCCCCCTATAGACTGGATAATTCTTCAAGTCTCAGCCCCTCTCCCCGCCTATGAATACATTTCTCTACATATCTAAATACCTCTAGAACTGGTGTTTCCATCACATATTTCCTTGTTGTAGAATTCCACAGCAGGTCCAAATTGAAACTTGCTTCTTTGTGTCTTCTAAGGATTTAAAACTGAATCAAAACTTGAAATATTCTTTTTTTTTCAAGTTTCGAGTTTGTTTTGAAAACTGATATTTGCTAACATATCAAAATTCTT